GGCAAGATCAATTTAATAACTACACTCGGGTCCTGTATACTCGTCTCGGAGACAGCATACCTTGCCTTCGTGGTATGGACCGTATTTCGTGGTGTCACCAGCTGAGTAACACAGAAGTCAGGAGTAGAGAAGAGGTAAGTTGGTTGACGAGGTTGTGAACCTTCATCGACTGAGGTGGTTGGGACACGCGTTACGTGTGCCTGGTCGCCAATCGCCTCGTCACACAATGTTGGCTGAAGTAGGCCCGAGGCTGCCAGACTAAAACATGGCACCAATGTATTAAGTGTTTGACTGTTGGTTTGAGCCATGTGGGACGATGCAGACTAGGTGGTTGGGGTCGACGGGACAAGAGGAACCAGTGGTTGGAGACTCTAGGTGATATGGCTAAGAACCAAAGTCAGTGGCGCAGATGTATACATACATTATCTTCATCTTAACGACGCTGTACCGAGTCTCGCCATTTTCTCTCTTTTCCTACTTTATATTCCTCTTTACTGAATTTTTTATCTTTATCTTCCACTTCACTGCCCTTTTACTTGATGTACTGATATGAGGTGTGGCAATTCGGACCGCTACGCAGTAATGCCTAGTCCTATGTTGATACTGATAATGATGATGATGATGCATCCATGGCTCAAGATCCCATAGTTCTGGTGAGTGATGCCTGATGTGCGATTTGGCATAAAGTCCGGACGTTGACAGCCGTAATCTGAAATCGTTGGTGAGGTCTTAGTAGACTAGGAATAAAGTTTCGATGGCTTTGATCGTTGACAATGGTTTCAGAGTGAAAGGTTGAAGAAAGTGTTGTAGGCCTAATATTATTATCAAGAGGTGAAGGCAAGGAAAGAGATAGGTGAGTCTTGTGTACTGCTGTACTATGTTGGTCTCCCTCTCGTCCGGTAATTTCAAAGAGATTGATCTTTTAACAGGAGAATCTGTCAGCATTCAAGTTTCCTCAGATTGCTATCCACCTCCCCCCTCATTACCTCCTTATCTTCCTTCACGTCTCCCAATTACCAATACTACATCATTAATTTTTCCTAGTTCTGCAGCCTTTGACAACGATCTGAGTTCACAAAACAGCATCCTTGGTTTCCTTAAACCACGCTACAAACTACATATTGGAGCCTTCAATGTCCACACCTTCCGTCAAATTGACCAACAGGCTTCATTGACCAAGACTAGCAACTCGGGGCATGGATGTGTGCTGTGTTTGTGAAACGCATACAGGACCCAAGTGTAGTTATTTACCTGACCTCTCCCGGCTAATCTAGTGAATCCGCGAAATTTACCGTTCGAGTTTCTGTAGATCCGATAGCTAGCTCTCGCGGTCTCGCAGGTGTAGGGTTAGCATTAAGCACTAGGGCAGAAAACACTACTAGACTGGATCCCAGTTGATAGTCGCCTCTGTGCTATGCGGCTGAACGGCACAGTGAGAACTAAAAGGAATAGGGAGACTCGCCGTTGTCTCTTTGTAATCTCTGCTTATGCACCCACTGACTTCAGCTCGGATGAAGTGAAGGACGAGTTCTACTGAAAACTGTCTAGCTTCCTCTCGAAAGACAAATGTTCGGACGTGGTGGTTATTGCAGGTGATTTCAATGCACAGGTGGGTAGACTGAGTGAGGCAGAAAGACACTTAAATGGCACTTTCGGAGTCCCGGCTGAACGAACAGATAGCGGTGATCGTCTACTACAACTGTGCTCAGATAACCGCCTATTTTTAGCCAGCACAAATTTCAGACACAAGAAAAGACACTGTCTGATGTGGCGTCCACCGAGCTCAACCTAGTAATGGAGACAGATAGACCACGTTGCTATTAGTCATCTCTGGAGAGGACCGGTGGAAGACTGCGGCTCCTTGTGGGGTACATGCTTGAATAGAGACCACGCGTTGGTCCGAGCGCGTATATGTCTGCGTCTTAATGGACTTAGGAAACATTTGGCAACAAAGCCACCACGAGTACTGCTGGACAACGAAAAGACCAAAGCCGTGTTCAGTGAGAAGTTGGCTAGGCAGTTATCGGAACAGAAGACTATGACTCATCCAGAAGAAGTTTGGTACCATCTGCAGTCTGCTGTAAAAGCAGCATTGAAGACCGTAGCGGACTCCGAAATAGTGGATAAAAAGAGCCAGTGGATATCAGCAGCTTCTTCCGAACTAATGGATGCACGTGAATCATCCCTGCAGGCCCCGAGTACAATGAAGAGCAGCGGGTACAGCTTAAAAGTAGACTGAGAAAAAGTCTACACAACGACCGCGAACCGTGGTGGGCAGCAAAGGCTAAAGAGATGGGAAAGGCAGTGGCGATCGGTAATAGTAGACAGTTATTTAGACTTATTAAGGAAACTGGGGGGAAAGGTCAACTGCGGTTAATGAGACCATAGCGGAGAAGGACGGATCTACGATTCACTTGCAGGGGAGACGACTGGAACGATGGATAGAACACTTGGAAGAGCAGTTTAACTGGCTTCCAGCCACCATTGCGTTGCCCGCTAACCAGTTGGATCCTGAATGGAACATTGAGATAGGCCCTCGAACACTAGCAGAAGTCGAGAAAGCAGTGGGTAACCTGAAACGAGGAAGGACAGCAGGACCAGATGGACTACCTGCTGAGGTATACAAGGATGGTGGTAGAGTGCTCGTAGTCAGGTTAACGGAAATGTTAAGTAGTATATGGGAATCAAATACGACCCCCTGTGACTAGTCTAAGTCACTGATTATGCCAGTCTTCAAGGAGAGAAGTTCTCTTGTGATAACCACAGGGAAATCAGCCTGACGAACATAGTGTCTCAGATTCTAGGTTCTAAACTTCTTCGACGCCTGAGTAGAGCTCAGGAACACCAAGTAGGCTTTGAACCTGGCTGCGGATGTATCGACCAAGTATTCACACTGCTCCAGGTTTTGGAACACAGACACGCTTACCGGCACCCAACAATAGCTGTATTTCTCGACCTGAAGGTGGCATTCGACTCCGTTGATCGAGAAGTTTTATGACAATGTCTCTCACTGAAAGGTGTGCCGACTAAGTACATCACTTTATTGAAGGCTCTTTACTCGAACACTTGCGGGCGTGTTAGAACCTATGGTAAGATGTCAGGTGAGCTGTATTCACCAAGGGTGCCCACTCCCTCCATTCTTATTGAATTTTATCGTAGATATTCTTGTGGAGGTTTCCCTCTAGTCGCCTAATTGGTGGAGAATTTTTGTTAGACCTAGAATATGTAGATGATAAAGTCCTGTTAGGTGAAGACGCTAACAAAATGCAGAGTCTTGTGAATACTGAGTGGCAATTGGAGAATGTTTGGGATGCGTTTCTCACCACCGAAATGCAAATTGTTGCTCCAGGATTGGTCTTCAACGGTGCCCCACCGCGGCTAACAGTAGGAGTGTAATGGTTGAGTGTGTTGACCACTTCACTTACCTGGGAAGTAGGATCAGCACTACCCTGGTGGCTCAGTGGCCTATGAAATCTCTGCATGAATACAAAAGGCTCGATTAGCTTTCATGAACTTACGCCACTTGTGGCGCCGCCGCGGTATCCGATTGTCTATTAAGGATGGCGTATACTGCACAGCAGTCCGGTGTGTTCTACTGAATAGCTATGAAAGATGGCCATTGAAAGTGAAGGACATGAGAAGGCTTCAGGTGTTTGACCACCGTTGTCTTCGTGGTATGGACCGTATTTCGTGGTGTCACCAGCTGAGTAACACAGAAGTCAGGAGTAGAGAAGAGGTAAGTTGGTTGACGAGGTTGTGAACCTTCATCGACTGAGGTGGTTGGGACACGCGTTACGTGTGCCTGGTCGCCAATCGCCTCGTCACACAATGTTGGCTGAAGTAGGCCCGAGGCTGCCAGACTAAAACATGGCACCAATGTATTAAGTGTTTGACTGTTGGTTTGAGCCATGTGGGACGATGCAGACTAGGTGGTTGGGGTCGACGGGACAAGAGGAACCAGTGGTTGGAGACTCTAGGTGATATGGCTAAGAACCGAAGTCAGTGGCGCAGATGTATACATACATTATCTTCATCTTAACGACGCCGTACCGAGTCTCGCCATTTTCTCTCTTTTCCTACTTTATATTCCTCTTTACTGAATTTTTTATCTTTATCTTCCACTTCACTGCCCTTTTACTTGATGTACTGATATGAGGTGTGGCAATTCGGACCGCTACGCAGTAATGCCTGGTTCTAGGTTGTTCTGGATGGATGGATGGAGAATCCTAAGTTGATTTACAGTGCGCGGATGATATAGTCCTGTTAGGTGAGTACACTGATAAGAGACAACGTCTTCTGAAGACCTTGAGTGACAAATTGTGGATGTTTGGATTGGTTTTTCGCCGCCCAAATGCTAATTGTTGCCTTAGGACTTGTGTGCTTTGGTGGCTCGTCGGGCAATAGGGAGTGAAATGGATAGTCACGTTTACCACTTCACTTAAGTGGAAAGTTGCGCCTGCCTTGGTGGGCCATTGACCGACGAACTTTCCTCACAGATACAAAAGGCTTGATTGGCTTTCGCCAACTTCACCTATAGTTTTAACAAGACGTCCGATTACCCATTGAGTCAAGTGTACCACACAACAGTCTACCGTGTTTCTCAACATAGCTACGGAACGGTCATTAAAGGTACGCATTCTGAGCAACCAGCTACTATTACAAACCCTCATACATTGGTTGGCTTATAACCTCGTATGGAAACTTGGGCTTAGTTACATCATTTTTGTTGGACCTAGTGTTCTGTGTACGGATACCTTGTGATCTCTAATTTTTGAGTAATTAGATTGTCATCCATTGTAGTTAGGCGGTAAGGTTGGTTAATGATGAGTATGTGACGAACTCTGTTCTAAGTAATTGACTCATATTTCTGTGAGAAACTATCATCTGAAAGCCTTTGAAGCCTCAGCAGCTAATATTTTGTCTTATAGTTGCACATCCCATTATTTCTATTTCCGCAAAAATTATGTTATATGTATACTGTGTTTGATTCCCGATTTTAGATTAAAAAGTCTTATACCCAATAAAACAATGAGTGAAAATCCAGTTGTCCTTTGTGCACCTACTTCGTGTACAACCATGTCAAATCCTAACTGCGGTTCATTTGACGCGTCCATTTGTCATTCAGGTATCTCATCAGTTGCCGTTCCGATTGCATCTGCTTTGTGTTCGAACGTTTTATGTTCCTCTGATATATCTAACGCTTCAACAGTTCCATCTATCCTTTCTTCATCCTTGGGATCTTTGCAAAGTGCTGGTAACAGCTTGAATTTCGGTGTACCCTCATCCAGTCACAATAATCCAGTAATTTTACCAGAATCTTCAGCGTCATTGTTGGTTCAACCAATTAATCCTTCAAACAGTTCAGCTCTTGGTATTCATTCGATTCCTGCAATTACTAGTACTTCCCTATCTATAAATGATTTGGAAAAGTCAAACATGACTGTTCCTATGACGTGTCAGAATGAGTTCTTGAACGCCAATATGACAAATTCTGGCTTTCCATATAGTTCTATTTTGCCTCTGGAATCATCTGCGGTTTGTCAAAATCCTAGTTTTATGACTATTCCAACTCACATGACAAGTACTTCGATGGAAATTATCCATCCGGCACAACAAAGCCTACCGTCTTCCATGCCAGTTTCTACATCAGCCCCGTTACCTTTACCACCCATGTTAAATTGCAATCCATCTCATTCAGAAAATGTTTTGGGTTTCGATACAGATTCTGGCTCTCGTCCACTTACTAACCAAACATTACCGTCATATTTTCCATTGAATTTGATGCCAATTAGTGCAAATGGCGACTTTCCTGCAGCGCAAATAAACTTTCCGGGACTACCACCTGTTTTACTTCAAGTTTTACCATTACCTGGAGTTAAGATGGGAGAGCATTACACAATTAACGTTCCCACTCAGTTAGTGTGGGATGGTATATCAAGTGCGCTAGCTAGTGGAGGTACTGTCAATGGAGGACCTATTATTTTATCAATCACACCGTCTCCTTTGCCGTCACATTCAATTTCTTCTTTATCAACAGTACCTGTTTCTTCGTATACCGTGCCAAATCAAATGCCTGCATCTTCTGTAACTTTATGTAGTTCGTCTAATGGATTTATTAACTCCAGTCTACCTCAAGTTGGAATTCCTGTTTCAGCAGTAATTCCTTATTCGTCTATTTCTATCACTTCTTCAACTTCGACGGTAACTACTGCGAGTGTTATGAGTACTAAAGTACCTGGATTGATAGTCAGTCCCATTTTGTCACATCCCGGAAGTACTGCTGGAGGACCCAGGCGCATGAGAGCAATCGCACCTAAGCCATCAAATGCAAGTCCTATTGCTACACTGGGAATAAGAGCTGCATCAGCTTTAAATACTATATCAAAAAGTGGGTCAAAACGCCTTGGATTAGTAACTTCTATTTCAGGTATTAATGGGATTATATCAACCTCTACTTCCCTGCAAAGTAGTCATTCTAGTATTTCTAATATAGGGACAATAACTTCAGTACCAGCACCTGCAAAACTGTTGCATTCACATTCCAAAAAGGTTTCATTACCGTTGGTTAGTGTTAGTTCCTCACTTGTACGATCAGGTCGAGGTAGACGTCGTGGTGGTGTTGGACAGCATTCTGTCTCCACTACCTTTGTTACAAGTGCACATGCTTCTCCCATATGTATAACAAATTCCACCAGTTCATCTATGGGAATCAATAATGACACCAGTAATTTATGTTCGCTGCAATCTTCGATGTCATTGCCATTAAGTAGTCCATCTGCAATGTCTTCGTTCTTCAGCACACAGTCTGTTTTCGTACCACCAAGTTCTAATCCACATGTTTCTGGACCAGTTTTACCATCTGGACAAATTCCACCTACTCTACTTTTTGGTAACTCCTTGTCTAGCGCGCCATCTGTTACCATGCCAAGTGGTGTAGCTCCTTTTCTTTTTCAACCAGCTATTCCAATATCCAACAGTTGCTCACAATTTTCAAACTCTGTATTTAGTCCTGCCACATGCACTATCTCAATTTCACCGTCAACGTCATGTCCGTTAGGTGCTGTTCGATCCCTTCCGTCTGTCAGCTCTGCAACTATATTTGCTGCTAACAACGCACCAACAATGGCTTCTCTCGATCCAGCCACTGGATTCGTGACATACTATCCATCATCTTGCATTTCTATGAATAATCCGTATGCATCTGCTATATCTTCTTCCAGTGATTCGCCGTCGATCACTATCCCAACTGTATGTTCTCAACCGAACCATGGCCTGGGCCTCCAACCTTCCTCACAATCTGGACCAATCATGTATCCCATCCAAGCCCAACAGTTGCTTCCCAATCAGGTTGTTCCAACTATTTTTCCCAATATACCTGATGTAGCTAGTATGAGCAGTTTTGCTGATCATACGGCATTTTTACAATCATTTACCCCTGGTTTAATGGATGGCTGTTGTATATCTTCCAATGAACAAATATCTTCTGAGTCCACGGTTATTCAGAGTCAGATAGCCTGTCAAAATTCCTTTTTTACATCAGCTAGCAATTTTAACAGTAATAACAATTGTGGGAACATATCAATTTTTTCGTCACTACCTGTTTCAACAATTGCAGGATTACCTAGCCTGGAGATTGCCACAAGCACATGTGAAACAAATGGATCTATGGAAGACGATGCCTGCTTAGCTAAAGATGATCTTATTAGTCTTGCTTGGCATCTTACACAAATGGAAGATGATTTCGAAACAAATGACAAGCAGAATGCTGATGTTTTAATAGAGCAAACTGAAGATGAAAATAACGGTATGTTTGAGGATTTCCTTCAGGTTTATTCACAGAACACAACAGGGTTTAATTTTAATTCAGAATTGGACTGTCAAACTCATGCGTTAGACCCATCCTCCGGCGGTCGTATTTCCACTGTCGCAGACAAGAATGTGATTCTCCTAGATAACGAATCTGAATACACAGTAGGTTTCGAAAATACAGATGATGCCCAACTAACATGTGCAAATGAAGAAAGTACTGGTAATGCTGATATTGATGCTCTGTTGGCTGCAGCTGCCATGGTTGGTGCTGCGAGTGGAGTTGGTGATGCGCAATCAGCTGTTGCTGTTCCACTACCATCTTCTTCTTTGGCCTCAGTAAGCCACCAGGCTGCACTAACTTCTGAATGTGATTCTTCTCATCCAACTGTTGAAAACGGCGATATAAATAATAATATGCATTTAACATTCGATAGTTCGTTGTTACCTTCTCATTCCACCAGTTGTAAATTCTCACCAATCCTCGGTCCTAATAACGCTGAAAACTCTGTTAACAGTTTGAAAGAAACGAAACCTGATGAGCTCATTCCGAGTGATTTATTTGATGATTTCTCTAAAACAGAAGTAAATGATCAGTTTCCAAATGACACATCTGATTCAGTTCACGAATTTGATGATGGTTACGAACCCACTAGTCTTGCTGCAGTTCTTGGTTGTAATGCCGAGGATGCTGCAGACTTAGAGTCAGTTTTAGGTCAAGAAGCTCCAGATCTGTCCGAAGGTGGGGGCGTTTCCGATTCTTTTCTCCACTCACTTGTTGGTCCTTCGCCTACGGTAGATGATTTAAATGATGAAAGGGATAGTTCAGTCAATATCTTTGATAATGATTTCCATTCTCCATGTAAACCGAAACAAGAGACAGAAAACGATTTGAATTTTCATTCAGTGGATGATTTTCCCACTGACATTGACTGTGATATGGTTGACGATGTAACAAACCCTCTACCTGTATCAAGACAGGTTAGATCGCTTCTTCGCGATGCCAACAGTATTTCAGTATCTTCCCGCTTTGGATCACCACCCGGAGGAAGTAAAAGCTTCAATCATTTTTTTGAAGCTACTTCACGACGCCTCAACAGGTCATGTAGGTTTACATCTGATATTGATGATGATTTTATGGGTGTAGACTTTTCTGATGCAGTGAATGGATGTACGACAGCAGAACAGTTTGATGAAGCATTGATGTTATTAGGACCTCAGCCTAATTCGCCTATTAATCAATCTGAAATGCAAAGTGAGAATACAATCCCTGTTTCAGTGACAGATTTTGTTTCACACATTGAAGACAAAATGAAAAACAATGAAAATGCGGCAAAAGACAAACAGTTATTACATGTGAATGTAAACTGCACAGACGTTAAAGATGTTGTAGCCAGTGTTACTATGTCGATCACGTCTAATCTTACATCCCCACAGTACACAGCAGATAAGTCTCCGAACAGTCCTATTCGAACAGAAGAATCTGATTCTCAAGTAAAATGCATACCTTCATCTCCAGTTTGTGAAGTAGAAAAGTACGTAACTAAAAGTAGTTTGCAACTTGGTATAAAAGACAGCGTTAACATGCATTTGGACGACCCTGTGGACAGGGATAATTCGATTAACGTAGTAGCGATCCGAGATACTGATGGCTCACTACAGGTAGAATCACAGCAAACAAAGGTTGACAATATGGCAAATACTGATGATTTAAGTTGCACAAAACGAAGTTCTTCATATAAGGAAAAAACTGAGTTCACCGGGACATTGCCAATGATAATTAGCGAAAGACTGACCATGTCAATTGACTCGAAGTCAAATTCATCAGATAAACTGTCGGTACTGAATCCATCCTCGATACAAGACTCACTCGTTGACTGTCACTGTTGTCAAGTCTCGGGAGTTCCTGTGTCACCGCTTTCCGTATGTCCATTGTATGATCTCCCGAAGCGTCCAGGGTCTGCTGGCCCAAAAGTTTTGTCTGATATCGTCCCGAATCATCTTCCTGACTCGTTTCTTAACTTACCACCTCGACCTCGAAGCCTGCCCAACGTCAGATCTCCTCCGAAAACGGAGATGCTTCATGATAGTTATCATGAAGGGAATATCTTTAAAACCTTTGTTTCGAATCCATGCTCTTTTAATATTCCTTGTTTAGTGGCAGCCTCTTCCAAAGTAGATATTGATTTAAGTGGTAAACAACCATGTTCAGCATCTGGTCAGCAGCTCTCAGTCAATACAGAAGATATGGTGTCTAATATGTCCATTCTTGGAGTTCTCGCTTCATCTTCGGCATTGGTGGAGGCAGTCGCGGACCTAGAGGATGACTCTGATATCTCACCTATTAAATCAAGCATAGAAGGATTAGCCTCCCTCGATCGTATGTTAAAAAGTTGTCAGCGTCGCAGCCAACAAACTTTAGAATCTGCAAGAAATGATTCCAGCACGTCAGAAAGTGTTACAACTTCATCCTCTCAAACATCAGGCTTTTCTCAGAGCTCAGCTATCAAGGCAGCAGCTGCTTGTGATAATGGACAGTCAAATAACAATGATACATGCAGTTCTGCCCTTTCAGCTTCGCAGAATACTGACTTATCTAATGGATCTACTATTGATATTCCAGGGAATAATTCACTAAGTGTCAGTGGAGACAATTTTCTCACTACTGATAATTCTAAACAAAAACAAGTTAAGAATACCGATACTTTTCGCTGTAGACGAGGACGTGGGAGACGAATTGGGCGCAAGAAGCCACATTTATCTTACTTGAAAAAATATGTAATGAAAACCAGTTCTAAAATCCAACCTTTCGCCTATGAAACACATTCTCCTCAAAATGCTACAACAGACACAAACGACGACCGCCACTTGAAAACCCAATCGGAAAATTCTCACGAAGAAATTTCTACAAATAATCTCTTGGAATTAGCTGTTAGACGTCCACATTCATTTGGGTGAGTCCATGTGTTAATCTTTATTATTGTGACTCATCGTGCGTATCTTTACTGCCATTGTATGCGTGGATGCGTGTAATTATTGAGCGAAAAACACTCCGCTTTCAGCTGAACTGGACCATGTATCGAGTTTTGTGGTAGACTATAAGCTACAACTCAAAACACTTTATAGTGCTACTCGATTATATATTTCTTAGTTGGTAGAATGGGTTTAAACCCATGTCCTGATATTCGGTAGTCAAATTCCTGGACTGAAGTTCACACCTTATAGTTGACAATTTTTACCAAGTAATTTTTAAGATCAGCTTTTCATGCAAATCTATGGAAATAAAATGCACTGTTTTTTTGTAAAATACCCAACCATGTACTGGTTTATCTACAGGTCTCTTGTCTACAGTTTATAATTATCGATTTATGATGCTGTGCCTCTGTCCAGATTAAAATAAGTAGATCTAGATTCTAATCCGTTACACTAGTTTGGACGTCGATTGCCTAGATTAGTGCGTCAAAAATGAAGTTCCGTGGATATTTCTTTTGCTTACCTTACTTGGTTGTAAGATTCACCCGAATAAACTCATCTGTGAGTCGCATAAAGTCAAAAGGCTGTCTAGTTTGACTGTCTAGTGACTGTAATTGGTAGTTCTATATATAATTGCATAAATTTATACACTAACATTCAAGGTGATTTAACAGCAAACAGCTTGTAAGCTTAAAGTTAACAAGTTCAATATGATTGAATGCCAACTGATAGCTTCGACCAATTAGACAACAGTAAATGTCAAGACAGCAACTGACAGCCAATCATAAGAAAATAAGAAACTGCGCATATAAACATTAGTTACTCATGAGTAGTATAATCAATAACATGAATGTTGCACCGGTAGAGTACTGACTTTTATTCTCAGCTTCCACGAGTTGAGATCATGTTTTTAAAACAGCTTCCTATAAACGACATATACAGGAAATTTCTACCTCACTGTGACCGTGAAAAATGTGAGTCCAGGAATGTTCTACGTAATTTATTTCAAAGATTTAAACATTCCCATTTAGTTTCTAAAGAATAAAGACTCCAGCGAACAAAATTGTTTTCGGTGATATCATTCTCTGTAGCTGTACAATCGCGTTTAACTATAGTTTGTGCGGATAAAAATATCACTATTTATTGGCATTTAGTAGTTTGTGGTCGTAAAAATAAAATAGGAATGGAAATTACTAACAATTATTGACCAACAAATATTGACATTTTTATGCACACTAACCGTAGTCAAATACGATTATACAGCTGCAGTGGATAGTATCTCCGAAAACAATTTTGTTCGCTGAAGTCTTCATAAATTTATTTCAACAAAGCAAAAATGAAGTTTGGGAACTGAATAAAATCTGTTAGACGTCATACCATTTTATCAAATACAAAGAGTCTAATACGTTAGGAACTATCAAGTTTACCAAGTCAGTAAATATTAAGTGCTGGTCGTTGACCATTTAGCTCAAAGATACAATTGTTATGATCAAAACCTATTTTCAATATGTGGTTATTCTATAGTTGTAGTAGTGCAGAACGCTTGCATATTCTCAGGAGATTTGGGTAATTGCCTCAAAATCTTCATTTTGTACCATAAATTCATAACTTGTGTGAGGGCTGAGATACTGCCCGGGCGCCCAGTTTGAAGCAGGTCGTTGTAATAGGGGTTACTCCTAGAGCCTCTGACTTAAAGTCTAGTCCACGGGGCAGTGGAGCAACATCAGGAGCTGTATTCCTATGGTTGCTGGTGACCGGAATAGGTTCACGCGTCATTCATTCATTTGGGACCTTGAACCCACGTGCACCATAGGTTTGAAATCAGTGTTTTTCAACTTTCGTAGGTTGACTGTATCCACCAATTCGCAGATAAGCGCCGGATATACACTGTCCGCAAGACAAACAATTTCACTGTAAAATGCAAGTGGTAAGGTAAGATCACAACATAAAAATTGACGGGTTTGACAAAATATAAAGTAGAACACAGTTGATTACATTGTTCCTGTGTAAATGTATTTCAGAAAGACGTAGCAGTAATTTTTTTTGCATGGCAAAATTGATCAGATATCTTTAGATTTCTTTTAGCAGTTTGTAATTATATTTTATGTGGCTGGAAACCACTCTTGTAAAACTCTTCGTTCACTTAAGTTTAAATTTTTGATGACAACTGGAAGTAGTGTGAACAGTGCATTCATGGATTGTAAAAAAGATACTAGAATGTTTAGTTGGCAAGTTTTCACACTGGAGTTTAAATTGACACTTACTGTTACCTCATATTATCAATGAAGAGCTTAATGAATAATTTGAATGTTCAAGCGTTAAGTGTTTTTTTTATACTCCCCTTGATATTAAACTGAGTGTATGATATAACCACTTCTTGCTACAAGAATATTATATTTAGAGACAGATATATATCATTTATTGTTACGGCCAGAAAATCACATGCCATATCATTCCATATTAGGCTATTTGATCTGATAAAAGGGTAGCTAACCGACCACGTGCAGGTTTTGTGCACTAGCTAATGAACTAAGCAAAGTATTGCTTCATGATCACCCAAACCGAAGTAAGAGGAGCAAAGTTGGAATTCATCACCTGTTAGGGATGGCTAGTCCCTAAGAAAACTAACTTATAGCATGTTTATGTTATCATTGTATAGTTTAAGCCTTATTTTCGCACCGTGCTATGTTGCTTATTTTTACCGCAGTTTAGGATACTAAACGCTGACTGGTCCATTTTACACTTTGAATATGCTATTTTGTTTTCTCTGGCTAAGACCATCTAAGGATATATAAACGACTGAGTTTTCACCTATTAATTTCTGGTTGGAGTAAATAAACTTTCAATCCCACTGTCTTCTGATGTCAGCTGAATGTCGAGTTGAGATGTCATTGTTTTATCGTTAATCGTATCGTCTCGGAGCGTTGTATCATTATCTGTAGCGTGGATCATAACATCACTCGTTACTTAAAAGTCGAATTCATAAGCCAGTGAGTCACATCTACGCAGGCAGTGCGCCACACTTGACACTCGAGAGCTAGTTTTACTACTTGGTTCTACAAACCTCAGTGGGTAGAGCGAGATTAGAAACCTTGATCTATTAGATGAAAGTTGACTATCTAAACCAGATAGTATCACTAGCACCGACTAAATTCTCACTAACTGTCTTGATTGATAAGTAGCTTAAAAGTCTCGCTCGAGATTAATCAACTATAATATGAAGCAGATTTGTTTCTGAATAGTCTGTTTTATTTCCTGGCTACTCTACTCTTATGAATGTAAAACTTTGGGATATTTTGTTAATGAATTTGATAAATGTTTAGCTACTATAGCGTTACACTTTTAGTCCATATAATATTTCAAGGGTATTATTTCCTTTTATGATAAATCTGATATACATCAGCACTGGAATATCGTTTGTAACTTGGCTTATACTTAATGCTTTTAGTTTCCCCATAATCAAATAGAAAGCACTTTCACACTTTTTATAAATTTTCACTCATCAAAGTATGTCGTTTATTTTATTCAGGTTATCTCCCATAGAAGGCGATTTTTCAAGTGTTCCCAATCCACCTATCTCTCCTGAGTTCGAGAGTCATCTGCCACCCTTGGTTTTGGCTGCTGGGACATCATTATTTCCAGAATCAAGTTTGTACACCGATGCGTACTCATCCATTGACGATTCTTCTGCTATATTACCTGTTGTTGATGAACTAAAAGTTGAACCGGCTGAAACAATTGTTGCTACGGAAGAAGATGAAAAAGTGCTTGTTAAACCTCTGACTCCGCAGCGACGCATTCACCATTCCCGTAAGCGTAAAAAACGTAGGAAGCACGTCACTGGTCTGAAACCGCGCAGTAGATCTCAGATTGAATCACATTCCGCAACAGAAAGTCAATCAGATCATCCTAATTTTGATTTTGACAAAACCAATTTTGTTGCAGTTAATCTTGGTCTTTTGAAGCGATTCGAGTTGCTTGATGAAGCGCCGTTTGAACGTTTCTTGCATGATACGAAACTACAAACATTTGCTGCATTAAAACTTATTACAAATGAAGCTGCACCATGCTCTAGATCTAATTTGAGCTCTTGGTCTGAGCAAAATGTTATGTTGTTTGGTGGACAGTATACTGGGCAATCTGGCTCTGGTGACTGTACATCACTATCAACTCAAAATATAGATGCCGAGAATTTTTTAAATGAAACGCAGTCCATACCTGACGATGTACCAGAGAATTCTTCGAACTTTTCACTGGAAACTGATAATAAATCCTCGACTAGCACAATGTTTTATAACCATAATACTGAAGAACCTGTCTCAACTAGCTGTGAATCCATAAAATTTTCTGTAGCCTCTCACCAGCTAATGTTCTCAACGCCTGTTTCTCACACTTTTGACACTCTGCCGACACATACTTCATTGTGCTGTGTACCGAAATCTACTAGTCCCTCTCAAAGCCATATCCCACTTCCTATTGCGGCTGCAGTTACCCAACATCTTTCCTTCTGTGAAAGTAGTTCCTCAACAAGTCACTCACTTGAAAAAGTGTTTCCAGTCATTTCACCTTTACCAATCAACAGAAATGTGGGTATAGCTGGTAGCTTCGCTGGTGCCGCTGCTTTCCGAGCAACCAGCTTTAGTGCATTAGCAGCGAAAGTTGAAAGGATTAACGGGACCGATATTCGACTTAATAATGCTTCAGAAACACTATGGAAAAATGTTACGTTTGCTGACCTGGCAAAAATTGCCACTTCAGAAACGAAAGATAAGGAGGTCACACAAAATCTGACAAATATTTCTAGTTCTGCTGAATGTTCATCGTGGTTCGTCGACAAGTCAATGCAAATTGATGCCTCAGCTTTGCGACCGAAACCATTATTTCAACCCAATTTTCCAGTCGTAACGTCACCGAGTAAGACTGCAAATAGCTCTGTTTTATTTCCATCTAGTCTCTGCACATCGAATGCTTCACCCAATAATTTGGATAATCATGTATCTCTTACTGATGAAATTAAAACAACAGTGTCTTCATTACCTAAAGTAAATTCTTTTGAAGGTAGTAAAAGAAGTTTAAAACGCATACGCTCTATGCCTAAAAAGCTGATCAAACGCAAACGGTCAGCAAATAGACGTCAACGGCGTCCGACTAACTCCACACAGAAACCCGCTACTCCTCTGTTGGAACGTAATTCTGTAGGTTCTGATGCTAAAGAAAATGATGCTGTATCTAATAAAGATTGTATTTCCCCCGCAGATATAGTCAAAAGCTTGTATGATGAAACTCAGCATCTCTCTTCAGCTTCAGAAAAGTTCACTCATGAGGATTGTGACCCGTCCGAAAATGATCTTCCCATTTCTCTGTATCCAAATAATGATAATGTATTTATGGAACCAGATATTGATAAAGAGAAACATATTGTTTCGCCTGCGGTTGTTAAGAATGACTCAATCATTGTTGGTTCAGATTCTGTGGATATAAATGCTTCTCGTGTTGTTCAAACACAAGATAGTATCGGTCAACATTTTCCTTCTCCAGCTCTACCAATAAGTAGCGTTAGCTGTGGACATTTGTTGGTCATGCCTATTGATTCTAAAAACAACCTTTGTTACTCCGAAGTCATTTCCCCTGTTAATGAAGACAGAATGAATACACTAAATAATTGTATGAACACTCATGATGAAGATACAATTACTGAAGTAAGCTCATTTCAGGCTGAGAATTTTGCGTCTGACGATCGAAACGTCAACTCTGAACATGTTACTTCTCATATCATCGCTAATAAAAGTGAACTGCATTCACACCCTCCAATCAGATTGCGTTTAAATCTTAAATTAGCTCAGATTAAATGTAAATCACCAAAGAAAAAGAAAAGAAAAAAACTACAATTGGATAATTCAGTCGTTGAAAACCTGCGTGATTCTGTGATAGAAACAAAAGACGGTCCTCCGAAGTGTTCATTAAGCATTCGTTTTGTGAATAGAATTCCTCTTGCTGAAGATATCTGTAAACCCAGCCCGAAAGTTGTCAGCAAAAAAAGGAAGAAGAAAATCACTGAAGGAAGTACCTGTTCTTCAGATTTTAAGAAAATTACCGTTATAATGAACAGTACCCCTCAATGTGAAAAACAAGCAGCATCTATACGTTTAGAAGAAGCATCTCCTACTCTGAGTCATAACACCGGCAAAGTGCTGAGTGGTCAAACCAATGTTATGTCTGATGATCATTCCAAAGTAGTAAAAGATACTTCTATGAATCCGCTCTCAACCAAAAAAATTTTCTCTACCGCAAGGCAAGAGCGTCGAAGCAACTATGCTCAGTTGGTGAGTTAAACATTTAACTTTTAAATGTGTTAACTGAATTACTTTCATTTTCTATGTACCATTCTTTTTACCCCATATTTTGCCCCTGAAGGTAGTAACATGTGATTGAAGTCATGAGTTTTGCTTTTATTATTTATCACATTTGTCACAAACGACATCAGACCATGGAGATTTGATTAATGTGTTTGATTTAGATGCTTTTAATGGAGTTCAACGTCGTTGAAATTATTGTTAAGTTGCAGCATCATCACCATACCGCGGATGACACTTCTGTTAGGTGAAAATACAGCCTTCTGCCTTCTGTGCAGTTTGGGTGGCGGTTTTAGAATGTTTAGGATGGGTTTCTCACTGCCCAATTGCTCAATTAACTGGTCCTCAGTGGTTCCTCGTGTGACAATAGACAATGAAGTGATTAAGCACGTTGACCACTTTACTTACCTAGGAAGTCGGATCAGCTCTGTTCGGTCAGTGACTGACGAGATCTCTACACGGATGCTTAAAATATCAGTCGACTTTTACATCACCTATAGCACCACTGTAATATCTGATTACTTGTTAAGGGCTAAGAGTACTTGCTGCATTATATTTCGTTCTGTTCTACATTATGGTTGTGAAACATGGTTGTTAAAGATAGAGGATATGATGAAGCTTCGGGTGTTCGACCACTGTTGCCTTCGTAGCATAGACTGTGTGTGTTAGTTTGTGAGGTTGTGAACAGCCATGTACTGAGATGACATGAATATCACGTGGTCTGTTACCATCTGTCTAGTGGTGTAATGTTCGCTAAAGTATGTTTAGTCTGGAAATTGGTTAGAGGTGACTAAGCTTAAACCTGGCACTTGTCCATGAGGCTTTGTACTCTTGGTCAGCTGTGTTGGGAAATGCAGACTTCCCGGTTAGGGTTCACGTGACGGACGAAAGTGGTAGTCGGAAACTCTCGGCGATATGGCTCGTAATCGATGTCAGTGGCGCAGATGTATCCAAACATTATCTTAGTTGTTATTCTGAATTTCATTATTGCCTCATTCTTTCCTGTTCTCCTCACTACTTTCCGCCACTTTCGATTAATTTCTTCCGTATTTATCTACGTTTTACCTTGATATACCGATGCGAAGTGTGGCAACTTGGTTCGTTATGCAGTAATGCTTAGTTGTACGACTGACTGGCTGGTCATTACTGTGCTCCCTGACGCACCGTAAGAATAAAATTATGGACTGAAATCTCACGTCATTTCTCCATAGCCTTAAGTAACTGAAGGGAGTTTTAGCTCATGGTTTTGTGTCTAGTAACTGTTGCATATACACACTTGCCTAGTTTCTCCGACCTATATAATGTAATGACATCAACTCGCCATGTTAACTGACTTATTTGACTCCGTAGGTCATGACTTCTCATTAGAACTTCAGGAAATCCACCTGAATGGAGTTGTGGTTCATTGGTGTAGGCACTCGACTACCAACTAATGCGTCTTGGGTTCAAACCCCACTCTGCCTACCGAAGGTTGGGAAAGAAAATAGTATCACTAGCCGTCACAAAATAGGTGTGGGTCATCATCTAGTACACGAACATGGCTGTGGTTATTGAGTATGTTTCTGTTTGATTCGTAATTTCTGTCGAAGCATGCTACTAAAGAACTCTTAACAGCAATCCAATGAACGGTTTGTCAAGACTGATTGATTTCATTGTTGTTTTTTCTAATTCTTATCAATCCGCAATAAATACTATATTGACTTGATGGTGTTTCTTTTTACTCCTTTTAAGCCATAGCAAGAATTGCATATCTCAGCTATCCCAATTAATTCACCTAATGTTTTGTATTCCTACCGATGATTAGATTCATGTTCATGCAGTCAAGTGAAGCTTGCTAGATTATGAATACTCGTTTTACTATAGGATTATTGTCTTTGTCGAAGTACCGCTTTGAATTTCTAACATTTTCGTATGCATATCTCCTTAAACGATACCTACCGCTTCTGAATGATTTCCAATGTCTATAGAACAGTGACTGAGTCAACATCTAGCAGAGTACTATTCCGCCTACTCATTTTGTTGTGGTGGGGTACTGTTTTATAGCACTCCTGATTTGTTTTTGTGTATATTGATTAAGCTCTGTAGTCGTTCTCAATATTGTCAGTGTCTTTGATGAGACCTCTGGAAACGATTGTCTGTTTCTGTGCAATACGTTTGATATAATATGTAGTTATATATGCTTATCTATTTACATCTATAGTTTTTATATTTCTTTTATGATCATTTGGTTTCATATCATATCTTCAGGTAACCTGCACAGCCCACTCCAAACTTTCCCTCTCTGTTACGCTCTTTTGTAGACACGACCATGGCGAGCTAACCTTTCAACTTCTCCTCGAAAGCGAAGTACAGCAGCATTCCGGCCAACCTCATCTCGTCGACATGGCACTAGCCTAGCACGATCTCGTATCCATCTTCCCACCTCACTTCTTGATCAGAAGGAACCGAATATTCCGTGTGCGGACTCGACGATCCCAGGAAATATATTTAACGAAAACACCTCAAATTGTGATAGTGCTGAAAAGTCCTATTCTATTACGAATTCTACCAGTAGGTTTAGAGGAGTTCCTGAGGTAAAGCGTCCAGAATGTCCCTCACTACGTTTGATAATTCGTTTGGGCAAGTCTTCAAATGTAACAAAAGATGAGCAGACTCATCAGTCTGCGATTTCCCCTCTAACTATTCAGGTGCCTTCTGATAGGTCGTCTACTTCTTCGCAGGCTTCAGTGGACAAAGTATGTCAGCATGATGGTGATATAAATCTTCCTGTGTTAGCAGGACAATACAATCGTGAATGTAGTGGATCTGTTAGGGAAATACCAGGCTTTTGTATAGCAAGTGAAGCGGAAACGTTTATGGATCCTAATCAATTTCAAATCCATAGGATTCTGAATCGAGCTCTTCCGATAAACTCCGGACTTCTTAGTTTGTATATACCCTCACCAAGTGGAGATGATGATGGAGGTGACTGTGGCATTGTAGGAAGAGTGCTGGATTCTGAACATCGTTTACACATGACTGACCAGTCATTTACTTTTTCACAAGTTCGTCACGAAAATCATACAACTCCAGTCGCTCCTCAAATTGGATGTACTGCAGGCTTGTCGAACAGAAAAGAAAGGAAGTCTTCAAAACACCAGAAGTGTAACAAAAGAAATATTAAGCATTTTCGATATCGTTATAGAAAAAGTTACAGGAATCTGGCGGAAGAATGCACTTCGGAACAATTATCGAATGGCTTTGTCCCACGTATCAGGAGTTTTAAAAAGCATACTGAGAAAGTTCCCGATACCGATCTGAATTTCATTTGCCATCAGTCTCCTACTAACAGTTTCGGTTTACATCAGCCGAACTTCTCAGAACCAAACATCACTTATTCTTCTGATTCTAACCGGATTTCTAATCGTGTCAGATTCTCTCATAATTCTCCTGAGTCTTTAAATGCTGTAGGTGCTACATTAGCCCCGCAGTATAATTCGGAAGACAAATCAGTTTCTTCCAATAATGAAATGTTATGGTGCAAACCGTCTAGTTTAAAGTAAGATTTTTGATACGGTATGTCTTTTGTACTTTTACCCAAGTAATAAATCAAGTTTTACGTGATAGTTTGCGCTAATTATGAAGTCTGTAAGGTGTTCTACTTATTTTTTGTTGCCTGGAGTCGAATGAAACATAAATAGATAACTTGAGATTTAAAGGTTTATCAATAAAGTATCCACCCTAATACCAAACTACAACTCTAGCTCTCCAGGCTCTAAATTAATTTTAAATAGATTGAAAGTCCTTTAGGTCGTAAAATGGCAAAATGCCAGGTAATTATGCACTCTTTTCAGCACTGAAGCATCTTATGCAAGGACCTGATTCGTTAAGCTTAGTGCTACTTCTATGCTATGTATGATATCTTCAGGCTTGAGCTGAGCCACCACTACATTGCTGTTCAGTGCTTTCTCGAAAACACTAACTTCAGTCAAGCTTCATTCCCTTGTTGAAACATTGATCGTTTCATTCGATTGATGACTGTCAATGTTTCATTCTTAGTTTCTTTCTTTTCTATGAAGTATCTTTCTCCCATTAATATGTTAAACTTACTAAGTATTTTTGAGCTTATAAATAAAATATATTTGTAAAATCCCAGAGGTAGAAAAATAAACTTCTGACGTTTGAAACTTCATGGACATCGCTTCTTCAGAAAGCTTGTTGAAAACAGCTGATTCAGCTTTACTTGATGGTTCAACCGAAACTTCGGTATCTCTCTTGTTTACTGTCTTCACTGTCTGTATTTCAGTTGTTGGATATCAGTGCGGGTCTGGGCTGGTTTTTTGATAACCTTGTAGAGTTCTCTCAGACGTAATCTGCTTACTTGTTCTGCTGCTCTTCTCACTTTATCTGTTGGGATCGGAGCTCGTAGACAGGTATTTAAAAATGATTTGGTGGTATATGCATACATTGAATGTTAAAAATACGACCGTTTTGTGCATAGTACTTCAGTCTGTTAAAGTTGTTTGGCGGGTTGTCTTCAAAGAGGAAGACCATAGGTTGCATTGACGTAAGACTGAAATTTCCGCGCTGTGGTAGAGCACAACTCTATAATAGATTGTTTGTTTGATAACATATGAAACAGTTTTCAAATTTAAAGGCATATATATATATATATATATATATATATATATATATATATATATATAGGTGGAGCAGTGCTGATAACTCTAATATCTCCCATCACAACGGGCATATTTGTGGACAGCTGGGAACAAATGGTATTAGGAGCATGCCAACCCACCCCAAAAGTGTAACGACGATATAAAGATAGCACATTCACTTTGTTAAAATCAGAACATATCCAGAGCTTTTTTCACACGCCTAAACTCGATAGTAGATCCAATCCAATTCACTTATCATTTAGAAAATCAATGAGAATTATCTATGTTGTACTACAACATCAAAAGAAAAAGTGATAGGAGTTTATATATCAGCGTTTGCAAGTAACCATCATACTCGAATATATGTCTGGGTTCCACACCGTCTCACTATATATCTCTCAAAACAGCTTGATAAAATATTTAAGTAGTCAAGCCAACAGTCTGACTAAAAAATCAGAAAATCTAATTGAGAGACTCAAGCAAACTGAGAAGAAATTGCTATTTAATAACTGCCCTCCAGAGTTCGTTAGAAAGTTTGTAAGAACTCATAAGAGACAGGAATAATATTAGTGGTAATTGCAACATGCCCAAAAGGAGATTCAAATCCTCTGTTGTGTTGCCACCTCAAAGTTCATTTTATTAGGGTGATCCAAGAGTATTTACAAAATGTTTTAGACTCTGAATGCCAGATGATTTGGCAACATTCGGATAGATAGTAAGAGTCACTGTATACTTACATTCTGTAGATCGAAAAGTTGCTAATGGTAACAGACATGAATGAAGTCTGTGAAACGTTGCTTGTAACTGAGTATTATCAAGATATTGAACTTTTCAGTCATATCCCCTTTTCAACACCTGTTTGTACCTAAGGAACTTTAGGTCATATCGTTAGTAAGAAAGAAACCATTTACTAGCGTGAAATATCTGTAAAAGCGTTCAAGAATCTATCGTAGAATGAAAACGAACCGAAATCCACCCAACAACCACGTGCATATTCGTGCAGTGGGCAATTAGCCAAACCTATTGTGTGAGGGCTAGTAATATTACCTGTAGGTGGAGCAGTGTTCGAAACCGTGCCCCATTAGTTAAAACTGGTCTCCTTAAACAAATGAGCCACAACTGCACTGGTATATTCAACACATCCATGAAGTTTAAGGTATGTGACACAGTTATATGCCTTTTTTCATGTATCGTAGCATGAAAATTACAAAAGCAAAGTCTATGAATGTTTTACTAATCGAAATTGATTTACATTGCTCAGAGAACACTAGGTATCATAAGATTGCCAACATCCAGACCACAGTTGTTACGAATATCCTAGAAGAAGTTAAGCGCCATCTAACTGAATCATCATAAGATTATATTAAATACATCCTTGAAATGATTTGGTATCACAGCTTGAAGTGAGTGACAATTATATTGTAGAACAGTAAATGAAAGTAAAGTAAATAAGTAGTGGAAAGCCAGTTTTTAGATAGGACTGCATATATCGTAAAATGACTTATGAAAAGGTCTAAGGCATAGATTACTTTCCATGCACACATACAATGTCAAGAAATTCTCCTTCGCCTTCTGAACTGTTTAATTTTATATCCATGTTTAACATAGACGTGAGAATGATCCCATTTAAAAGTTATAAAACACGGTTTTCATAAAAAAATTGAAAGTTGGTTTCCTTTTATTAATTATCATTATACCGCTATTTACCACATATGTTTATTTATGTTTCTATCAGCCTAAATCTTGGTGAAGAAGAACATCACGTTTCCTGGACTATTCATAAATCGTCAAGGAATGAGGAAATTGAGTTGAATAGTTCGTCATTTGGTTCACGTAGCACTACCTTCCATAATGATGAGAGTAATTCTACCAATTTCAGACCTGATCCGAAATTTCCGAATGAGGAAACAAATGTCTACTTAGATCCTTCCTATCCACACCAGGTTATGTGTAGCTCTGCTCAAACACGAATCTTCGATGCATACAATGGAGTTTGTACCAATGGCTCTTCAAGTTCTGGCTTTGGAGGATCTTGCAGTAACACCGGGAGCGCAAATTCAATCTCAGCTCCGAGTACTGGTAGTCCAGCCCCATTAAGTTTGGGTCCCGGTCCTGGAAGCCAACCAGACTATTCTAGTGGTGGCACTGGGGGTTAAATGATTCTTTCTGTTGTCCGTTGTCTCCATCGATAAATAGGGATTTTCACTGTAGTCCTGTTTCTACAAGAATTGATTTATCTGCATCTGCGTATGCAGAGACACAACCTACATCTCAAAACCATTATCCTCAATTTCATGAAAATTGCCTATCTAACCATGTAAGTTCTGAAGTGCCTGTGTTTATTAGTGTAAGATTTATCTGTACACTTCTAGCTAATTAGTCGTATGAAATGCTTAACTGGTTCCAATATTTTGAGTAGTTATATTGGTACACAATGTATTTAATTATTTATTCAACATGCATTCCTCGAACACTAACCCAACGTTTTATGGGCTCTTCATCTTAGTTGTATCTCAAAGATTATGTAATTGTTTACATAAAGCCTTATGTCTAAGAGAAGTGAATCGTCGAATAAAATTCTTGGTTCATTTTATGTGTTGTATACCACTTTATTTCTTCCATAAGAGAACAATAGTAGAAGAATAAATGGTCGACGAAGGGTACAGTGATTGCGAACAGCCAGTTTCGTTCTCTTTTTGTGTTTAGATTATGCCTAGTGGTTAGTTTCATAGATGTTCTCTTATTTTATCGTTTTCGTATATTATTCAGTGATGTAGCAAGTTCAGCTACTATTTAAATTTTACTGCTTCCCGTTGAATTAATTTATCCTAAATAAGTTTAGGCCTTGCTGGAAATATTACAAATCATTGTGTATAAACGTTTGTTTTAAATATATCTTTTCACAATACACAAACTATTTATTGGTATAACAATTAAAATATTTTAACTTTTAGCCTCTCAACTTGCCGTGGACTGCAGAACTATCTTATCAACGTTTAGTGATCGCTGATGAAAATCGTCTGTTAGCATATTCCAGAAAGCTTTGAAAGTGGAAGTAGGTCATTTTTCTACCAGTCATCGTTAATAGGATTGTACATACATCTTTTCTTATTTGCTATTGCGTTTCGGGTGTCATTTTGCGTTAAGCGTGAAAAAAGGTGTTGACGAGTGTTGTAGCTGATTAAAATAATGATGATTTTCCGTTTATCATATCGTGTATGCATTCATTTTTCTAAATGCTTAAATGATAATTGTACACTGATCCTCATTTGTGATACATTGTGTTATTTCCAACGAGTTTTTGATTTGTGCAAATTTTCTAATTTCACTTCATTTCTTTTTTATCATCATGATTATTATAAAGACGAATTCAATGTGTTCATCTCTGATACACACTGATGTCTGGTGTTTGCCTAAAGATCTCTAGCTATTTTTCTTTCTTTCGAAGCTCATCTCTCCTCTGTTGTACATCGTTTCATTTGATTATTATTCATGATATGATATTTCATAAAGGTCTCAAGTTTTATTTATTTTCACAGTCACTGTTGTGATCATTGTTATTTGTGATGAGATTAGACACAGGGATCCTACTTTTTATGTGAATTAGATTGCATTTTGATGATTGTTTGTTTGTGTGTCTTCAGCCGCAAATATCTTCAATTCTACAGTAACAATTAGTCGTGGTCATTAATATAAGTAATGTTATTCCAGTTTTCCGCCCGTTATGTTTCTTCTGCTTATTTTTTAACAACCTTGGTAACAGCACTACTATTGTGATACCTTTGTTTGAGTTCTTTTTCGTATATTTCTCGCACCACTACTCTTAGGAACACTACTTAAGATGCTCATCTGTTTTTTTGGTGCACATATGCATGTTACAGAAACTGCTATATTCCCTACTTTTCCAACAACTACTAAAAGAATGGAAATAATGTTTACACATTTTCTTAAAGATATGCCCAATTAATTTAGTTTTTCTGACAGTTTTTGAAAATCCCCTTCACAATGTAATGATGATACCACTTAATCTTCATCATCATGGCTGCTTGTATTTTTACTTTTCTCGTTACTAAATTCTATTGTTATGATTAATTAAAACTGACAAAGTATTGTTCACTCTTCAAGATCACAATCTTCCTGAGTACAAGTTCTCTTCTTCACTTATTATTGTATTATGTAATTCAAAGAGGAAAAATGAAGACGTAATTAATCATACTATTGCTTCGTTTCCAATTTTGGTTGCTTTTTTTGTAATTACCTCAAGTATTCAAGATATGTATAAACAAATATTGATGTCTGTATGAATTTATGATTTCTGACTGATCAATGTATATATTTACATAGATGTAGGTATTTCCTTTTGAAGATGTTGTTGTAATCATCGGTTATCTCATTTTGTTAACTTATTCATTTACATTTGTATACAAAATTAACGTTTGATTTTTTTTTCTTCTGTGGACCAAAAAACTACTTTTAGTAATCGCGACAAATTTGATTTTTGTCATGGAAGGAGTGCATGAATGTAATTACTACTTGTATCTTCGTAATGCATTGTTTCGACTTGCCTTTCTCTTACTTCTCTGCACGATAGGAGGATATCTTATTTCTTTTTTGTACAGTTGAATTTTCTCTGTTTAATTTCTTTTTTCCCTGCCTTAGAACGACAATAAATAATGATATTATTTGTTTGTTTTCATCTTACTAGCCCAGCGTGACCATGTATTATTACAAACATAGGTAGATTATTTATATCTAACTTCATGGGTGTTATCTATCTGAAGGCTGGTGCACACAGGTTTTGTCCTTACCAACCCTCCTCAAAAAACATGCCTAGAGTTTTGATGTTCGTTTTATGTCCAAAGTGTATGCTAAGCATCTTTCATCGCTATAGTTATTCGAATTCAGTGATGCTTAGTTCATAGGTAACCTTTCTAATGTAATACATAATTTCTGTCCCATCCTTGAGTCCCTTCATCAATGAGTGTCGTTGGAAGCCACCTTGCCCATAAGTATGTATAACAACCGTGCATTTACTAGTTTTTAACATGTGGATAGTTGATTTCATATTTATGTTGTTATTTTGTAGCGTTGTATTCTGAGTGACTAGTGTGGACTTGTTAGTTTCTGTACATCATGTATACTGTTGGAAAGTATTTGGGTGTCAAGTGTAACACCTATAAGGTGTTATATCGATATTGTGTTCTAGAAACCTGTTGACAAGTACTTTTTTAAACGGCCAATCAAATCAAAGCTAAAATTTAGAGCCGCAATATAGGTTACAGAAGTTTTGATCGAAATAACTGATTTATCCTTCATGCTTTAGATGAGTTTATTCATGCTTATAATTGGTCGCTGTTGTTACTTTGTTTAACTTTTGAAAAGTTAGACTTTAGTGTTAATCTTGATCAGAATTTTCGCTCTAGTCGATCAGATTTTTTTGTTCACATGTGTACTGAAGTCATCAAGTCATTTGCGGCTTCTGTTTATCTGAAAGAATCATTCAACAGATACTCTCAGTCGACCTATTAACAGCCCAAATGCTAATGATTTTCATAAAGTATTTTTACCGATCAGTTTTCATTTACAATGTAAGCGGAAATAACTAAGCTTGAAAGATGACAGGTTCACATGCTCAAGTATGTTCAAGCGGGATAAGATAATGCATAAATACCAAGCATATTATCACTTCTCAAATTGGGTACGTAAGGTAGGTAATGAATCGCTTAAACATCCGGTGCGGTTTGTGCTTGAATGACATTGTACTATAAATGATTTTGTTTTTTGAGAAAATTACAATTGAAAGAAGTAAATTATCATGAGAAACCGCATTAAGAAGCGGAAAACATCAATGTTAGAAAGTAACCCTATCAGATTCACTTGCTTTTCTTTACAATTTATATACTGTTCTTTGAAGGTAATGTTGGTAATAACTTACGGGTTGGTGTGAAGATGTTTTGATCTCAGAGAATAGTTACCATAAGATTCAACTTGATAATATCTGCCTTGTTACAATGCGACCGATAGAATGGTTTTAACAATAAAGTGCATTGTCTCATAATTCCTCGAAACCCCCTGTATCTTGTTAAAGCTATGGCTCTTTGGTTTTGGGAGACGACTTCCACTCAGTGGGTCAGCGATCGGAACACGACTCCACATATCAAGGTTTGAGCAGCCGCGTAGTATCATAACGTCTTATACAGTAGGTGTGGTTCACTACCTACTGCACAAATATGCACCAGGTTGCTGAATGTATTTCGACTTTTGTTAAAGCAGTGAGTTATCAGTATTTTAGTTACCAAAATGTTTTGTTCATATTGGGATGACTGTTATTTCCATACCTAGCCTACCTATATCACCGGATACTTTGTAATATTCTTCATGCTTATAGTATCAGCTAAAACTGATGCAATAACTCTTTATAAAGAAGTAGTAATGCCATGTCTCTGGAAAATAAATGCTCTTTTTAGACATCACTCCATTCTTCACAAATTTCCCACTCACAGAGACCATTTTTTTCCTACATAGCGACATCGAAACTAAGAATCTCCCAGTTTATTTGCAGTTCACTACCTAAAGTAATTATTTCTTAAATGCTTTTTAATTGTGCAACTTATTCCATGATGAATTTTATTGACAAAAATCAGGATCATTAGGACCTCTTCATACAGGTTGTTTCATAGCTAACCACCTAAGAACACTGTACTGCATCTCGTTATCGATCACACTTTCTTCTTCTTTTGCAATGGAAGGATCTATCTCAATACCATGCTACCGAGGTTCATTTATTGTCACTCCCCGATCAAGTTGACGATGGAAGTTGAGAGCAGCTCGAAATTCCACTTTTCTAAAGATTAGATGTGACGACTCTTTACACATCAAGCTCCTGAAACCCAACTTGCCATAGACAGTATAATTATCTCCTGAGTTGGATACCGTGTACCTGATAAAGAAACTTAATTCGTTCTTTGTGCTGAATCCCGACCGATAGCTGCTACCTTGACGTGGTGGTCGGGCTTGCATATCACAATGACCCAACGAGCTATGCTGGTGGAACGCTTGTTCCCTCGAGGTCCTACCATACCAGAAAGGTCTGTTGGGTAGTGGTTAGACGAAAAGCAGTTACCGTCATAGTGTAAATTGCTATACTATGATGGGGGTCTGAGGGCGAAGTCGTACTGCTGCTAGCTGGATGGGGTGTGACAGCAGTAAGGTGTTTCCCTTGGATGACCAGCAGTGCCAAGCTGATGCTGCCTTCTCAGTGGAAGGGGGGGTTAGAAAAGGTCGGCCCCAAAAATAACACACTCCACCACGCCCCACGGTCTGCCGGGCCGGCGGTGTTGGTTCACTTGTCGTTTCCTTTCGCTCATCCGGCCCCAAAAATACAAAAATTCAAAATAATCATACTCAAAAGGCTGGGTGTGACAGGCCTCAAGCAGATGTCCGATGGGCTCTGCGGTCACACAAATCTCTTTCAGGTACCTTAAGAAGAAATAGCCTTCCACGGTGTGGGCAGCCGGGAAGTGTCAACCGCCCTCACAACTCTGTCAGCACCCAAGTTTCTTCTGACTGCTATCCTCCTCCTCCATCATTACCTTCTAATCTTCCTTCACGTCTCTTAATTAATGATGCTGCATCATCTTCAATTTCTCCTACCTCTGCAGCCTTCGACAACGATCTGAGTCCACAGAACAGTGTCCCTGGTCTCCTTAAACCACGCTCCAAATTACATATTGGAGCCTTCAATGTCCGCACCCTCCGTCAAATTGGCCAACAGGCTTCGTTGGCAAAGACTCTAGCAACTCGAGGCATGGATGTGTGCTGTGTTTGTGAGACACGCATACAGGACCCAAGTGTGGTTATTCACCTGACCTCTCCTGACCAATCTGGTGAATCTGCAAAATTCACCCTTCGAGTTTCTGGAGATTCGATAGCTAGCTCTCGTGGTCTTGCAGGTGTAGGTATAGCATTAAGCACCAGGGCAGAAAACTCACTACTAGACTGGATCCCAGTTGATAGTCGCCTCTGCGCTATGAGGCTGAACGGCACAGTGAGAACTAAAAGGAATAGTGAGACTCGCCGTTGTCTCTTTGTAATCTCTGCTTACGCACCCACTGACTGTAGTTCGGATGAAGTGAAGGACGAGTTCTACCATAAACTGTCTAACCTCCTCTCGAAAGCCAAACGTTCGGACGTAGTGGTTGTTGCAGGTGACCTCAACGCACAGGTGGGTAGACTGAGTGAGGCAGAAAGGCACTTAGGTGGCACTTTCGGAATCCCAGCTGAACGTACAGATAACGGTGATCGCCTATTACAACTATGCTCAGATAACCGCCTATTTTTAGCCAGCACAAATTTCAGACATAAAGAAAGGCACTGTCTGACCTGGCGTCCACCGAGCTCGACTCAGCGATGGACACAGATAGACCACATTGCTATTAGTCATCGCTGGAGAGGATCGGTGGAAGACTGCCGCTCCTTCTGGAGTACGTGTTTGGACAGCGATCATGCGTTGGTCCGAGCACGTATATGCCTGCGTCTCAATGGACGTAGAAAAAATTTGGCAACAAAACCACTACGAGTTCTGCTGGACAACGAAAACACCAAAGCCGTGTTCAGTGAGAAGTTGGCTAGGCAGTTATCGGAACAAAAGACTGTCACTCATCCAGAAGAAGCTTGGTGCCATCTTCAGTCTACTGTAAAAGCAGCACTGGAGACTGTAGCCGACTCCAAGATAATGGCTAAAAAGAGCCAGTGGATATCAGCAGCTTCTTCCAAACTAATGGATGCACGTGAATGCATCCCTGCAGGCTCTGAGTACAATGAAGAGCGAGCGCAACTTAAAAATAAACTGACGAAAAGTCTGCGCAACGATCGTGAACAGTGGTGGGCAGCAAAGGCTAAAGAGATGGAAAAGGCAGCGGCGATCGGTAACAGTAGACAGTTATTTAGACTTATTAAGGAGACTGGGGGGAAATGGTCAACAACAGTTAGTGAGGTTATAGCGGAGAAGGACGGATCGGCGATTCACTCGCAGGGAAGGCGACTGGGACGATGGGCAGAACACTTTGAGGAACAGTTTAACTGGCCTCCAGCCACCATTGCGCTGCCCGCTATCCAGTCGGACCCTGAATGGGACATAGAGACAGGTCCCCCAACACTAGAAGAAGTTGAGAAAGCGGTAGGTAGCCTGAAACGGGGAAGGGCAGCAGGACCAGACGGACTACCTGCTGAGGTATACAAGAATGGTGGTAGAGTTCTCTTAGTCAGGCTAACGGAAGTGTTAGCCAGTATATGGGAATCAAATACGATCCCCTCCGACTGGTCTAAGTCACTGATCATCCCAGTCTTCAAGAAAGGCGAGAAGTCCTCTTGTGATAACCACAGAGGAATCAGCCTGACAAACATAGTGTCTAAGATCCTAAGTTCTATAATTCTCCGACGCCTGAGTGGAGCTCGGGAACAGCAAGCCCGAGAAAACCAGGCAGGCTTTAGACCTGGCCGTGGATGTATCGACCAAATATTCACACTGCGCCAGGTCCTGGAACATAGGCATGCTTACAGACGCCCGACAATAGCTGTATTTCTCGACCTGAAGGCGGCATTTGACTCCGTTGATCGAGAAGTCTTATGGCAGTGTCTGTCACTGAAAGGCGTGCCTAGTAAGTACATCACCTTATTGA